TGTCTGGCTTTACGTATTGTGAGTCCAAGTCTGAATCTGAGAATTGCTACCTCAGACTCAAATTTGTAGGTGGGATAGCCCCTATAAAATACATTATGGGGGCCGCCACAGTTGGCACATGTGCATGATTGTGCAAAGCTGTTTGATCGAGTATGGCCAGGTTGGGCACATAGTTGGCAATGTTTAGCTGGGTGTCCTAAACGCCAACAATTTTGGCACTGATGTGGAGGAGGTTGGTATGGATAGACAGGGATGGATTCTCCACCTATGTAAACATGAAAGGTAAGGTCATGTCTACGGAAAGTAATTTTGGCTATGTTAGTGGGTTCCTTTCGATGACCTCTGGGGGGAATGGAGTTGCATTGTACTGATGTCGCATCATAGTCTGTGAGACAGGCGAGTAAGTCTTCTCCACAATCTGACCAATCTTTGTCATAGATTGGGCAATTTGCTGGGGAGAGTGTAACAGTTCCAGTGCAAGTATTGAGGATTGGATGGGTTTCTGCAAGGATGGGGTTACCATATAGATCAGTTAGTTTTGCTAATGCTATAGCTTGGGATTCAGAGGTTACTGTGACGAGACAGGAGCGATCGGGAAAGAGACTTTGCCTACTTGTTTTTGGAGACATTGTTGGAAGAGAAGGGTGTTGTCAGAGTAGGGAGCTGTGGGAGGGATCACGAAAAATCGGTCCCATTTGGCTGCGCTAAATAGAGTATTTAAGATTGTTGTAGAGATAGGGGTAGTAGAAGGGCGGGGGCATGATGAAGAGGGAGTAGTGTTGAGGGAGGTAGTGTTATGGAGAGGTGGGCAATAAGGCTGTAAAGTATTAATAAGGGAAGATGGGGTAGTTGATGTTGAAGGTTGTGGGGGTAGAGGTGTTGAAGTTGAGCATGTTGGGAGAGTGGAAATGTCTCTTGGGGGTTGATTGTTGACTACTGTACTAGTAGGCATTGATGAGGGGGTAGTTGTTGCAGTGTTCGGAGCCGTGGTCAAAGGAGAGCCTAGGGTCAGGGAATCGGGAGGGTTTGCATCGTTGGGGCTATTTGATAAAGGGGCAAGCCTCATTGCCTCTAATAGAGGAGTTACGTCTTCATGATTGGCCATGGTAAGCCTGAATTATATAGGGGAGAAAAACAATCCACCCCTCAGGGTCCCCTTTAGGGGTAAGGACTAGGTACTAAATCAGGGGAATACCGTGCCCATGGCTCCCTCAGGCCATTCAGGACTGGCACAAAGTCAGCCTTTCATCCTTTCAGCACGGCTCTCACACCTTAGGAGGTGGCTAGTAGAAGGGATTGGTGAAGGGACAGAAACAAAAAAGTAGGAAGGGAAAAAAGACCATGCAAAATTAGTTGAGTCAAGGGCTGAGTCCCAAGGTTGGGGAGTTCCCCATCATTGGGTCCCAGTCTCCGCCTCCTAAGCCCCCCCACGACAACAACGGGCAAAGGATTTGGGGGGGGGTGGAAGGGGATAGACAACACAACATTGAATTGTCTAGTGTGGTAAGAAGAGATGAACATTCAGTTAAAGCAATGATTATGAGTAAATGCACATGTAGGTATGTGTAAAAATAGGTATGTGACAAACATGTAAGGTTATATAAAATATGTAGAATATAGTAATATGATATAGATATAACTGGGTTACAGTAAGTGTGAGTGGGTGAGAGAGTAAGAGTGTGTGAGTGTAAGTGTGTGTGTGTGTGTGCATATGCAAGACTGCATTAGCTTATGTGCTTGTAAGAGTGCATACACATTTCTGCATTAATATCAGTATATTCACATATATACATGCATGCTTGTTTTACATATGCGTGATAGTGCATTTCTGAAGCATGCTTGTATGTTCTTGCATAAATTAAGGATAATTTTACATACACAAGATATTTCATTTTTATTTCAATGGAAAAATCTATATATACACACATGTATATGTACGAATAACTCATCCCAATAAATGCTGTTCTATAATTATAAGCAGAGCATTCTATGGTCCATAGCTGAAAAGACAACCCACTACATACCTACAGTACATGCCTAGAAACTTATAATACTGAATACAAGTTTTCATTTACACAACCTAAACCTATAAGCGTTAAGATACCAATGCAGTATTATATAAACATACTTTACTGAGTCCAACATCATATAGCTCTGCTAGCTATATGAATAGGACTCACATTAGTACTGCATGAGGAATGTGCACTCATATGATGCACTGACTTTTATATCTATTAAACAACAGAATATCTCTTCAATTTAAAGAACTTTTAATGTAAAAGACCATTAAGTTTTATATCTACAAATCTTCCTTTTAGGTTACTTGTGTTCTATAATTGTGGAGATATAAAACAAGTTATTACAATCTATATAACAATAACAGTATATACTTTTTACATTAAAATTATAAATTTATTTAGATAGATATTTTACCCCTTATAATATTAATAAATTGGAGAACAGGTGCATCTTACTGATGGTGATTTTTTTCCTTTTACTTGATTACAAAACAAACAAACAAACAAAATACCTGGAAAGTAAGACATGGACATTACATAAAATGATCATTGATTTTAACTGAGAAGTAAGGCATTGCTAAAAATTTTCCTTATCTATTTGTAGCAACATATGAAATAAAATCCTGTCTCTAGTACAGGTTACCTAGTTCCATAACCTAGTACTATTTCAAAATGTACTTGCATGTGCAAACTATTGCTGTCATAATACAACAAATTCTCTACTGAAAACTCTTCTATGTATAGTCATATGAATTCTGCACACATACAGACATATATATTCATTATCAGATACTAAAACAAATGTAACAGTATTTTTGGTTGCCAAGTCTTCAATCCTAATTTCCTTTAGCTTTAGGAGGTTTTAAGAATCCAATTTTCCGAAGATGTCTCACAATGAATGGGGTGGACGTGAGTGTGATAGCTATCCGTGCTGGAGCAAAAATTTTGTGCACAGCATATGCAACTACAAATGTTGCTGCACCAGCTGCCCTGGCAGTGTTGATGTCAACATCGCTTTCTGGTTTGTTTTCTGCAACTTTTGATACATCCCCTTCACCACTCTCATTCACTGCCTCTGTAACTCCTACTTGCTGAGACTGGTCCATCACCTCCGAGGCACCAGTATTCATTGAGTCTAGGTTTATACCCAAACTCTTTATAAAACCTGTCATGTCTACTCCACTGAAAAAAAGAAGAGAGAAAACTTTAAATATGCAAAGTTAAATAGGGTAACACATGCAAATACAATGAATTTTAATATTTACATGTTTAATCTAACATACAAATATATAATAGGAATTTTCAAGTTGCT